GTTGAATTTGTGTTGCGTAATTTTTTATTTATCACAAGGGGATGATATTTAGTAATTGCATGTACGACGTACAAGATTTTTTTTTATGATTTTTTAAAAAAATGACATTATATTGGTTTGAAACAAGGTTTGATAAAAAATTATCACCATATCCATCGGCGAAATTAAGTCAAAATCCAAAAAAAACTGACAAAGAACAAGATCCCAAATTATCACAAGCTGAAATGGTAGAAAATATTATAAAGACCAATATTGATTCAACTACATTAAATAAAATAGAACAATATATTTCTATACCCTTAAAAACATTAATCACTCCTAGAACATCAAATCGACGTAAAACATGTAATAATATACCAAGACCACAAAATAATTTTGTCTTGTATAGAAGAAATTTACATGCTATTATTGCAAGAGAACAAGGAAGTGCTACAGCTAAAAATTTTAAATTAGTATCAAATTTAGCAGCAAAAAAATGGGCGGATGAATCAAATGAAATTAAACAATTATTTGAAATTATTGCAGATTGTGCAAAAAAAGTTCACGATTATACATATCCTGAATACGTTTATCAACCTAGAATTCATGGTAAAACTACTATGAAATTTAGACCTATGAATATGGATGAAAGCGTTTTTGAAGAATCTACTAAAGGAGGAGGAGGAAAAGTTCGTGAACCAAAATCTGTAGTTCCTTCACTTTTACTTACTACTTTTTCTTTGACTGAACCTACAACAGAAGCTACTCTTGAAAAAGTAATGAACAGGTCAAATGAAAAATCAGAAACGAAACCAAACGAATCACAAAAACAACAACAATCTAGAACAAATACGAATAATACAAATCAATTCCAACATCAGCAACATCAGCAACATCAGCAACATCAACAACAACAACAACAGCAACAGCAACATCAACAGCAACATCTACAGCAACATCAACAGCAACATCAACAACAACAACAACAACAATCTTTTATAGGTTATCTTCAACCCGTTGACGTCCCGATCAATTCTAATTCTATGATTTCTCCTTATGATAAACATATATTAAATTTGTTTAAATAGTTTTTTTTTTTTAAAAAA